ATTTTTTCATAACCCTTGGAAGTGGCGAAAAAAAAAACGGAAATTTTCACATAAATTCACTACTAGGTGAAGCACACCGTATGTTTAAAAAATGAAATATCCCGATATTTTATCTCAAAAAATCATGTTTATAGTCCTATAAGATATGTAGCATGATGAATGTATTGGAGGGTTTTTCAAACGCGCAAACATGTTCTCAAACATATTCTCCCATACATGGGCGAACATAATTTTTTTCACTGATTATTTTATTTTTTTTCCTCATTTTATTTAATTTTAAACTCGTGTTTAACTAAGAATTGAAAGATGTCTCCCAAGTAAAAGTTGTTTGTATTTTTATTTTAAATAACATATATTTTTTTATACAAGTTTTACTTTTGACTTCAAAATTGATTTATAATTCTATAAATTTGTTTTCGCCGAGCTTGGTTGTTACCAAACTGCTAAAAATAACTTATAGTAGATTGAGAGCAGTGCAGATATGTCGAAACACACATGCTGTGCAGTTGTTTACCAGAGGAAACTCAAAATACTCAGAAAGATCTACAATCTACAATTTACTTATAGTCATATAAGAGGACTTTGCAAGAAAGGGTTTTATTGCACATTTTGAGGAACGGTCGACTTTTCACTTGTTTTTTCTACCTCCTTTATTGAAAAACAGTTAAAAATGTCTTTTTTGTCTAAAAAATAACTGTTTGACTTTTACTTTTTCATTCTATAAAAAATGTGAGGTTTTATCGTATTGTTAGATAGGAATGTTCTTCAATGCAGCAAGCCACAAAGACTTAGTCCATGCAGAAGCATGAATAGTGAGTACTCACACAACATCGAGCATTCGATAAAGTCAACTTTCATAACTCAAAACAAAACATTTGCTTCGTAAAAAATATTACAATGAATCCTGACGAAGCATCGCACAGAGCCGCTCGGCGTTGCACAACTGGCGGCCCCCGACGCCTCGTTTCGACCGGTGCCAGAACCGGTCATCCTCAGGCGGGATGTCTCGAAATGAGAAAGAGACCTAAGCTATACTACTGCAACCCATTAATAGTCATCATCTCTTTGCTTTGATACGTGAGACTGCTTATCACACTTCGGGCTAGTACTACTGGCGCAGCAAGCTTCATGCTATACCCCTAGTTATCGGTAACACCGAGACAAAAAGCGTTACTGTTTTCCTGAAGCCACGTCACGGGACGGGTCTCGGGAAGCTCTACCCTCGCCATCAGGAGACAATATCACCTACGCTTATCATCTGTACCTGGTTATAGGTATGACAACAGTTCATTACCGTGAACGCAAAAAAAGTAAAGGAACTGTCGGGGAATACTTAGTCCGCCTCCTCGATCCTTCTAGGGGCTAAAAAACACAAAACGACAACCTACAAAACGACAAACAACTACAACCGTACAAACTTACCCGGAGCGTACTTTTCGAAAAAATAAATTTTCAAAAAACACGGATTCAGAACAGCCTCGAAACGAAGCACCCATCGTAGCGCACGAACTTTGAAAAAAACAAGTTGAAAAAAATGCGAATTTAGAACAACCTCGAAACAGAGCACCCATCGTAGCGCGCGTTTCAGCGGGAGCAAGTTGCTTGCACCCTATGGTCTTGTCAACTGTATCTGAACGCAGAATGAAAAACATATTAGAAACAGAAAAAAAGTCAGAACTTAATCTCCAAAAAAAACACAGCAGGGAATTCAAAGAGGTCAGTCCCCAGAGCGCTTCATCGGAGTAAGCGTATTCTGCTGTAGCAGGTTGTTTAAACGTAGCAGACACTCCCTCAGCTTTGGAGAGTTCTTCGAGCAGCCTCAGTCCTGTCTGGGGCACATCTGCGTACGAAGCTTTGCAGGGTCCTAGCGAACATCGTTCCAGGGTAACCTTGGAGCCGTAACTCGCGTTTCAGCGTGAGCAGGCATTCTTCCACTCGACTTCCGGGCATCGTACATTCTCTGATTTTATGAAGCATATTGTTCACCAGCATCCTTTTCTGCTTCATGCAGGAAAACGAGCCAAAGTTTTGAAAGCATTTATACTTCAGCTGTTCCCCTTCCTCCCAAATTTCAGAGAAATTCTTTTCCCGAAACCAGCAGCCAACCTTTCCCCCTTCTATCTTGATCCTACAGCCCAGAAACCCCCACTCCCCACTTCCATCATCTGTCTTCTTCAGAACTAACCTCTCGTCATAACTACATTCAAATTTTTTTATTACCAGATCAACTTTGCTCTGACCGTTCTTTCCCCAATTCTTCCAAACAAACAGAGAGACATCATCGACAAACCGTATTCCTTGCACAAGATTTGCGTCCTTCCCGTTCTTCTTCAGGAACTCGTTTTCAAAGAACGCACACAAGATGCAAGCAATCAGGGGACTGCTAGACTTTCCCATTGGTATCCCTTCCTTCTGCTTAATCAATCATCCTGATGCCCATAGAAGCGTGTTTCTCAGATCGAACTTCACCATCTTTCTGATGGAATCGAAGTCAACCTCAATCCACCCATCTTCTCCTTCTTTCTTTCCGAAAGTTGCACCCTTCCCTCTCCCTCTGACTTTTACCATCGTGGGGTAGCCTACTAACAGACTCGTGGGGTAGCCTACTAAACATCTCCTTGATGTCGTAGGCTACTCCTACCACTTCTTCATTCTTCTTGTTTTTTGCCCACCTGTTGACTTCTTCCAGTCTTCCTTTCAGCAGATTTGTTGACTTGAGATTAAAGTGTTCATTCTTCGGAAGGCAGAAAAGCATGTGATTAAGTGCCTTTGCCACCCTCTGGTTAGCCAGCTTCGCAGGTTCCGAAAACGATGGAGAGATCGGCCTGAACTTTTCCTCATCTTTGTGTTTTGGCAGAATATACGACTTTCCCCAACTTCCTTTTGACTCCCATTTACCAATCTTTGACAGCCCCAACTCCTCAAATTCACTTCTCACTCTTCTCATAACCTTTTCTTCTTTCTCCCAAACTGCTTCGAAAGCATCATTCTTCCAGAACGTCTTCTCCATCTCTTCAGCGTACTTTATTGGACACATAACAAGTGTCTCTGCCTGGTTCTTGTCGAGGGGGCAAAACACCAAGCCCTTCCATCTCTCTTTTACTTCTCTCACCCTATCCATCAACCCCTCGTCCCTTATAGCTTTGCGACCCAAACAGCGCCTGGCTTGCTGTAGAGTCCAGTTGCCATTGAAGTCGGCTTTCTTCAGAGCTTCATTGAGCTCTTTGCATAGAGCCACCTCCTTCCTTTCGCAGTCAACGGCCCGAACAACATTCTTCGCGTTGAAGAGTTTGTCGCACACATCAGCTCTGGAGCTTAGGTGAAATCCCACGTGCTCTCCCTGCTTCGGGAGATCAAAGTCTGCGCACTTACAGACAACCGCCATCTGACGACTGGCGTCACGATGGTTGTGGAGAAGCTGACCAACAGTCTGGTTCTTCTTCCAGACGAGTTGAAGCTTCCGGCATCGTAGTTTCGCAACAGCAGCAGAAGGATGTAGGTGACGAATCTTCTCCACCATCTCTTGCCTGATCTCCGCTCTTGACACTCTCTCGTCGCACTTTACACCCACTACAATTTTATTCCTGAAGCTGATTTGGAACATTCTTCTAGCAACTCCATCCACGATGTTCTTCAGGGTCTTCCTTGTTTCCTTCTTAGAGAATGCGCTTATGTTGTTGTAGAGTTCGGCCAATTCCTCAATCTGGAATTTTTCCAGCTTCTTCTTCGCCCATCGCAGCCTGAGGATCTGGTGTAGGAGCTTTTTCATTGTCGAGTCCCCTGGACGCTTCTCTCGAATTCTAGAGAGGTGAATTTCACCACCCTCCTCGAAAAAACTCATAGCGTTCCTCAACTTAGCCTTCTGACCTTTAAAGACCAAGTCAGATTCCCCGTATTTTCTTTTAACAACGCTCGAGTCTTCTCCCCAGATCTTCCCTCCATCTGAGAGAACCACCCGTTCTCTCTTCCCTTTCAACTTCGCAATCACACCAGAGAATCTCACACTACTTTCTTCATTCTTAGCCTTAAAGCGCACAACTCTCTCGTTTTCGAACACAGAGTTCTGTTTCTTTCCTCTCTCTCTCCTCCCCTTCCTCTTGCTCTTCTTCCTCTTCCTGTCGTCCTTCCAGCCATTCACGTTTAGAGCAGGAGACCATCTCCTGATGATTCTCTGCTCTAAGCCTTCTAACTCTCCTTTCGAAGCTAAGGCTATTGGGATAGGAATATAAAAGTCCCACCCCCACTTCCTAAGCCACGAGTAGAGCTTGTTCTTCCTTCTGTGGACTTCGAAGGCCAACGTTCTCCCTATGTGTTCAGACCATCGTTCGGCGAGCGACCTTTCAGTCTTGCCAACGTAGATCAGCCTGCACCGAGGGTCTAATAGGACATAGACGCACGACTTGGGATTGTCCCACCTCTCCCTATTTTTTTCAAATATCTCCCAAATGCTTTCAACAAATCTTCGTCCCCAATCTACCTCATCTTCTAGAATCAGCAACAGCAGAGTGTTTCCAAGTATTCTTTCAATCAAAGCTTTCAGCTCTTTCCCTTTTCGACTTAGTCTACACCATCTTCTCCAGGTGCGAAACTCACGAAAGATACTCCATGTTTCGGACACAGTGTTCTTTCTCTTCTTCTGGATCCCTAAGCTCTCCTTTCAGCAGATCCTCTTCGACTGGTTTACTTGAGGTCGTCCCTTGCTGGCGCCTGTCTCGAAAACAGTACGTAACCCTTAATTTTGCTAATACATCCACAACATCGTTATTGTCGAGGAATGAAATTCCTGCCCCTTGGCATATCAACTGCAGAGTCTCCGGGTAGAAGGCCGCTAGGGCTTTCTGTACCGCCTTTCTGTATGCTGACTCCGTAGCAAATTTCCCACCCAGCGGCACTCCCTCCCAGGGGTCTTCACCTTTCGCTATCCTTGTAGCTTGTGCGTCAGCTTTAGTTGGTCGCCTCCTCCCTTTCTTGGTCTTTAAGCTTGTAGGAGTCGAGGCTTCTTCCTGCTTTCCCATCTTTAGGGGCGTCTCCACAGGTGGGCTGTTCACCACCACACCAGTAGATTCTCTCCTCTTTCTCTTGTCTTTAAGCGGCGTCTCTCCTCAGAGGCCTCGTCCTCCATCGAGCTGGAGGAGACGATTGCAGTCGCCTTTCGTTTCTTCTTCTTCCCGACGAACGCATTCTTCATCTTCGTAGCTAATTTGTCCAGGTGCTCCTGATATTCCTGTCTCTGTTCGATCAACAGCTTCTTGAGCTCCCGTTGCCTCTTCTCTTCCTTATCGGCTTTCCATTGTTTCTTCTCGTATTCCGCCTTCGCTGCTTCTTCCTTCGCCACCTTTGCCTCATCTTCCTTTCTCTTCTTTTCGTCAACTCCGCGTCTCGCGTCTTCCTCCTCTTTCTTCTGATCAACAGTAACTCCCCCTCTTTTTTCGACGGAACTCAACGATTCCTCCAACTCTCTGCTTAGAGTGACTCCAGAACCCCCTCCTCCTCCTCCAATTCTTCCTTGCAGCCTCGGGCACTCACTTTTATAGTGCCCGAACTCACCACACTCATAACACTTGATTTGCCTCACTCCTCCATGGTTCCTTCCTCCTTGCTCATCATCGGACCACCCCATTCTCTCGTCACCTCTCCTATCCCTCCGATCTTCACGCGCTCTATCTCGTCTCTCATCCCAGCCACCGGTCTCGTAGCCTCTGTAATCGCTTCTTCTGTTATACATCTTCTCAGCGTCGTCTATTGTTCTTCTTCAGCAATCAGTATCTTCTCACTCCAACGTCTTGTAGATAGCGGTTCGTAGGTCGCAACTCTTATCTCGTACCTTGTGTAGCGTAGCCTTCTATGACCGCTAGCACCATCCTTCGAGTAACATCCCTCGGTTGGTTGAAGTGTTCGACAGTGAGATAGGAATGTTCTTCAATGTAGCAAGCCGCAAAGACTTAGTCCATGCGGAAGCATGAACAGTGAGTACTCACACAACATCGAGCACTTGATACAGTCAACTTTCATCACTCAAAACGAAATATTTGCTTCGTGAAAAATATGACAATGAATCCTGACGAAGCATCGCACAGAGCCTCTCGGCGCTGCACAACTGGCGGCCCCTGACGCCGCATTTCGACCGGTGCAAGAACCGGTCATCCTCAGGGGGGATGTCTCGAAATGAGAAAGAGACCTAAGCTATACTACCGCAACCTATTAATAATCATCATCTCTTTGCTTTGATACGTGAGACTGCTTATCACACTTCGGGCCAGTACTACTGGCGCAGCAAGCTTCAAGCTATACCCCTAGTTATCTGTAACACCGAGACAAAAAAGTGTTACTGCTTTCCTGAAGCCACGTCACGGGACGGGTCTCGGGAAGCTCTGCCCTCGCCATCCTGAGACAGTATCACCTACGCTTATCATCTGTACCTGGTCATAGGTATGACAAAAGTTCTTTACCGTGAACACAAAAAAAGTAAAGGAACTGTCGGGGAATACTTAGTCCGCCTCCTCGATCCTTCTAGGGGCTAAAAAGCACAAAACGACAACCTACAAAACGACAAACAACTATAGCCCTACAAACTTACCCGGAGCGTACTTTTCGAAAAAACAAATTTTCAAAAAACACGGATTCAAAACAGCCTCGAAACAAAGCACCCATCGTAGCGCGTGAACTTTGGAAAAAGCAAGTTTAAAAAAACATGAATTCAGAACAGCCTCGAAACAGAGCACCCATCGTAGCGCGGGTTTCAGCGGGAGCAAGTTGCTTGCACCCATCGTAATGCACGTATTGTTAGGTTTTCATGAATCCAGTGTTGCATGTGGTGTTTGGAAAACCCTACACATCCATATAATTTTTTTTATTTTTGATTTAAAAGAAAAATAATCAAAAAAATATATATATATATTTTACAACCCTGTGTGTGTGTGTGTGCGTGTGTGTGTGTGTGTGTGTGTGTGTGTGTGTGTGTGTGTGTGTGTGTGTGTGTGTGTGTG